ACTCTCCGTACGTAATTACTCTCCGTATGCAACTACCCTCCATATGTAATCACTCTCCATATGCAATCACTCTCCATACGCTTCCTTATATGTTATACTAACGTGAAGGCTACCAGCATAGTCTTGGTACGCGTGTCCCCGAGCTCCTATGGTAAGCTACATAAAAGTCACAAGAAACCTCAAACGCATTTCATCACGCGTGATATGTAATCTATGATGGCTTGTAACTTTCTGCATCTCACTAAGAAGCTCGCAGAGCAATTTATCCTACATGGAGTAATATAGATGACATGGAAGCTACTTAACCTTATTTCCCGAAGAATATATTGTAGCAATAGCAAATACAGAATGCAGAAAAAGTAACTGTCGTTATCTGTTGGCGAAAAACCAATGAGTGATCAAAATATCGAAGGTACTGAGGGATAAAAGTCTTATGCTCGACGGCGAGTCACTGGCCGTTGATCATGTTCGTCTGACGTATTCCGCCGTTTACCAGTGAAGACATCGTACCTCGATATGTATTCTTCCAAGTCTTCACGTGTTATTCCACCTTTGCGGTTTTCAAGTTCACCGGGTCTGGATTTTGTTCCTACTAGTAATAATTTGCTTTGAAGAACATCCTTCAATGCAGTATCTGGTGCCTCCGATCTAAATGCATCCCCATCGAGAAGTAGAAAGTAATGGTCCAGTGCCAAGTCGGTAAGGCTTAGTCGAATGTTCAGCTCGTCATCTGAAAAAAACTTATAATACTCTCGTGAGTTGAATAGGTAAAAAACAACCACACTAGAGTGATCGCTTTTGTACCATGTGGTTAGGATCTCCTCTGCCTTTCTGTGGACAGAAATAGGAATCCTCGTGCAGACCGGGCCTTTGCATATCTCATCCTCGAAACCCGCGGCTAACGGCACTGACTTCTCGACGCCATCCATTTGTGCATGATGTGGTTCAGGCGGGTGAGGGTGGAGTTCAACAGGCGATAATACAGATGATGCATCGTCTATGTTCCGTGGATCCTCATCTATTGGATACTGCTGGCAATTGTCAACTAACGTTTCCTCCTCCTCGGATGGTTGTTGATTGGCAATATGCTGGACTGGTGTCTCCATGCTCAGTGCCACCGTGGTAGCAGGCTGCTCACCACGTAGGAGTTCAATCATGGGGTGCCTGCCGAAGAAAGACAAGAATATGTCTCGCAGTATGGCAAATGACGTTGGATAGTGCTTCGCCTCTTGATCAGGGCAATAAATGTACTTTATGAAAAGAAACTTGCGATCGTAGAGATATTCTCTCTGAAGGGGGCGACCTGCCCGCCTATCGGGCCTTTCCTTATCCCAATTGACGGCATGGTCCGGCATTAGAGGTGCAGCGGACTGTTTTTGCTCGACATCGAACAACTCACGAAATTTCCTGGCAATGTAATTTACTTTGCTGTTCGCCTCGGGACCTACCACGTCCCTCGAAAGTGCTTCACATATATACTGAAAGGCAGGCAGGTTCGGGTTCCTGTAAGTGTTCTGATGGTTCCTCGAAATATCGAAGCCGAATTTTCTCGCTGCACTAGACAACAACGGCCTCCCGCGAACTTTTAGTAGCGGTTGAACACTGTCTTTGCCGTTTGTTCTTCCTTTTCGAGGCTCGATAAAATGTCGGAATGCTACCAACCAGAGCTGCAGCAGGCTAATCAAAGATGAAAACTCTTCGAGTTTCTCGATGGTGATCCCAGAAGGCAATTTTACTTCCTCGAATCGGGTTTCAGATAGCTGTACACAGCAGGACCCGTTCCATCCTGCCCAGGACCTTAAAAGAAGGTCCTGAATTGATACCTTGTTCCTAGTGGAGCAGATATCGCGGACCGCGCGTGCAGGACCGGAGAGTAAGATGGCGTCTTGAAAGAAAGTGGAGAGGGTGAGTATCCTTCCGGGAACTATGAGCAGGCTCTGCAGCACACGGTCCCGGTCCTTAGAGTTTGTCAGCCTGGGGAACAAAGAAGCCTGACAACTATCATTAATAGCATCGACGATTTTGTTTCGATCATCCAGAGAATACTTCGGCATCAATCCTTCCAGAAAGCCAACAGATTTTGGGTCAACCAGAAACGCCATATCTCCTGGGAAAAGGCCAGACCAGAGGCGATAGATATTTGTCAAGTAGGAAACCATGACCTGCCTCTCATGAGCAGTTTATAATTTATGGATGGATAAAGAACGATGGTATACCTCGTTGCAACGCGGATTGAACATGTACTCTAACTTCCGGTACGTGAACGTCTCCCAGAGGCCCTGGTAGGGAGCGAGGTCCGCCAGCGCCCCTCGCAGAGGAATATTCGAATCTACCTTTTTGACGTAGTGGTAGTCCGTGTCAGATTTGAACTTGTGCCGCCACCCCTCTGATGTACGTGGTGCGTAGTTGCAGAGTAAGTCGCGAAAGGCCTGGGAATCCGTAATGTTTGCCTCTATAGCATACTGGGCAGTAAGATGAATCTGCAAGTAGAGTGGTAGGGCTTTTTGCGCATTATGATCAGAAATTTATGTTACGGATCGTCAGGGGATAGTTTCTTACAATTCAGGTATAGCCTAGTTGTCCACCACTTTTCTCCAGGCGGAAGAAAGCGCCGAGCCGCCTCAAGAAGATCCCGGCCGCGCAAGCACGGGAGAACAACGTTTTTTTCAAGCATAAGATGAGGTGGGTTTTGTGAGAATGACAATCCTTCTGGCGCTATGCCCGTATCCAAAATCGCCCTGTTCAACTGGTCCTCAGTGATGACAGCTATAACGAAGTGCTCTGGGTCCAATCGAGAACACTCGTCTAACGTGAAACGCTTAGAATACCATTTGACATTCTCTTCTGCATCAAACTCATGCGACAATTGCTGGAGAGAGATTTTGGCAAACCCCACGAAGTGCTTTTGTACTTCTTGAGACTTGGTGTCTATATTCTTGTTAAGCCAGCCTGCTCCACTCATAATGTATGATTAAATCTTTCACACCGAGGTAATTAGTTAAGGAAGGAAAGCGAAAAAGGGTGGGAAGTACGTCAGTACTTATAGACTTTGGTTCACTTTGGACTGGCTTACAAACTGTGCTTAGTATGTTTCATATCTAATAAACTTATTTTTACTTCACTAGAACTCGTTATTAGATAAAAAAAAGAAAAACCAGAGAAAAAATACAACATCTATTTCATTCAAAAAGATTCATCTCATCCTTGTTGATACGATCTGGAAGAACCCTCCCATATCGAATCGCGTCCAGATAATGAGGTTTGAGATTCCAGGACCTGTCCCCAGGTGGTGCCTGTTGCAAGAATTCATGCTGATAATTCAGGGCGGGCATAAAGAAGACAGATAGACATCGATACTAACCTGAAATAATATAGAGTATGGAGCCGTTTTTAGTTCACGAATAAAGTCTTTGCCGTATGCGGATATATTGGCCGGATCCTGCAAGTACCTTTCTCCTTCTTCAAGGATCGTCCGTGGGTCGCAGAGATTAACTAACAGAGTTGCTACGCTGTCCCGATCGGTCTCCCTCTCTCTGAGTGTTACTCCTTCAAGCATGCTGCAGCCAATATTTGCTATAGTATTGTCAGATTCCTAACAGGCTGCGAACAGAGCAAGTACTTAATACTAACTTATCCGCACCTCTCCATCATGGAAAAGCAAGACGCTTTTGCTCGAAATCGCGCCATGGCTAATCCGAAGGGTGTCGTGTACATATTGGAGGCCTCTAAGGACACTCCTGCAAATTGTGGCGAAATCGACGTCACTAAGATAAACATGAGGACTCGAACGAACAAGAGATAATGTCACGGCGAGTCCGTGGTATCGGTAAGCAAGGAAGAGTGTATTTCCATGGTAGAAGGCCTCCAGCAGGTCAACGATATTTGGATGTGTAGCTGCTCGTAGATTTGACTGCCCATAATGCTTTTTGCCCATGGTATTGAGCTTTATCAATACTTCTGCCGGGTATCCTGGAGAATTTTCAAGGCCAATCCACCCAGGTCCGGCTTGGTCGATCTTCCAAGATATGAGATATTTCCGAGATGGTTTCCCATCTTGTATAAATTTGCAACCCGTCTGTTGTGGACTAACTGGACCATTATAATGCTCCTGTAAATCAGTCGCGTTGGTAGTGGGTAGTACATGGAGGGGCACATGGATTCGAGCAGAATGGCTATTTTGATTTGCATCCTCTCCACTGGGCTTGTCAAGCGAATCCACACCACTAGGTTTCACATCCGGTCGGTTATTGCTATTCCATAGATGAGCTGGAAGGCATGTATTGCGCTTCGACTTTTCCATGATTGACAGAAATGGCAAGAACACCTCCACCAAAGAAAACATTGAATGTGAGAGCAGCCGAAGATTATGTGCCCCATTTATGTCAAGCGAACAGCGTCAGGGACTTCTGACATCACTGTATATAGAAGGCTGAGAACCCATAAATGCAGACATATTGAATAAGTCGCTACTGTTTGTATAATCAACATCTGTCCTCCAAAAAGACACAGTAGCGGCATTCCAAGGATAAAGAAAGCTAGAGGTTGTTTGGAATGGGACCGATGTACCTAAGTGGGACAAAGTGGGTTCCGAGAATGCCTATCGCCTGTATTGCCCGCGATACTCTTTTGCTGCCGCACCCTAGTTCTAGGGCCGACTGCGACCCCTTTGGGTTACGTTTGGGCGCGTATACACCATTACGCCTTCAAACAATCGATATATGGCACCTAGCATTCAAAATTCCGAACGTAGTTGTCGTTTGCTTGGTGGATCCTATTCCATTACCGCTACTTGTAATGAAGCTCAAAAGCGATGTATCTATTGCCCCTTACTGATCATTGATGCCACTAAAAACCTACGTCCACGCAAAATCATGCGCTGGCGTTGTACGACCCTAATGCATCATTGCCACCCGCGGACCCGTTGGAACTATATTTTCATTTTGCAAACCGGTCATGTGCTAATAGGATCTATACTATTGTGGGTGCTACTAGTGATACATACATTCCGTGGCAGGCTCCGAAAGGTGGGATTGGTGACCCCGGCCCACCATTCACTACAGAGTAACATTAGTCATAAACCCCTCCCTTCAGTAAGGGGACAAGGGAAAAGAACCGCAAGTTCGCCCTCAAGAAGTGGTACTGTACAATGTTCAAGAAGATACACAAGGATATAGAGATAGTCTGTTACCTGCGTACCAGTCAAGGCGAGTACTATTCTGGTGGATCTTGCCCATGTTCCCAGCCCACGAAAGCAAGCGAAACCTTTGTACATTAGACGATGAGGAGTGGAGACCCGCGAGCAATGCTGGGGTGGTGGGGGCTTCCGAGTGTGCGTTGCTGCTCTCTAAGGGCACCAACCTGCGACCTTTTTTAGGTGCCGCAGTCTAACTATCCGTGGCGCTGCAGCGGCTTTTGGGTACGTTTCGTCCCAAACACATATTTAAATTGGAAACAAATGTTAGTCAATATAAGTACTACCGCAAACAAACGCCAATATCCTGCAATAGCCTGCCTTCAGTTCAGCACTCAATGGCTCCACCAAAGAAGTTAGGCTCTCCAATCGAGCTACCAGTCCGCAGGTCAACAGTTATACCTGTTACGCTTCTCCCGTCGGTATCTTTCCGTAAGGATCACGGAAGAGGCGAGTTCGTCAAATATGGGTCACCATATAACCAGGAAGGCCGACTCTTTTTTGGACTAAACCCTCCTTGGAACAACGTCCATGCCATTGAATTCAAGGAGGGCCGCCCAGTCAGCTTCGTGACCCATCAAAGGGTTCAAACCAAGAACATTTCTCTAGACCGTATCAGGCAGATTTCACATGCAAATGTGCTGGGCTTCAAGGAAGTATTTATCCTAAAGGATATTATTTACTTCCTCCGGGACCAATGGGGCCTCACTTTAAACGAGATTTTGCAGCTATCTCCAGTCTTTAACCTCAGCGAGGTAGAAGTTGCTGTTATTTGCAGGGCTGTATGTTCTCAAATAGAGGGTTCATCAAACCTAGCCCTGGGCTAATCTTTTGCAGATTCTCCAAGGACTAAGGTATATCCACGAGCAAGTGGATATTTGCTACGGGAATCTGACATGTTCAGATATTCTTATTAATGAACAAGGCGAGGTGCGAATTGGTATGTATCCGTCTCTTCCCTCAACTTGTGATTTGGGACTAATCTTGACAGCGGGCATTGGGAACAGCATACTCCAGAAGCCCGATCCTCTAGGTAAAGCTAAGGATATCCAGGCTGTCTGCCACATAGCCCGCAAACTTCTCAGAGTCGAGGAAGCTGTCGATGTGCGCGGCACTACTGGGCTTCTAGCCCAAGATTTTGCCGGTGCTCCCCCAGCAACAACAGCAAAAGGTCTTCTTCAGGTAAGAAATAATAAACAAGTAGTTTGATTCACGGCTAATCAAATCCGAAGCATCCATTTTTAGAGGTTAGCGCAACTCAATGGTGCCTTCGCCCGCTTCATATCCTTTGCAAGATTGCCCGAGAAAGGAAATATGAAGTAGAGAGTACTTGACCTAGCTTTTCATATACGAAATCTAACCTTCGTAGATGAAGGGTAAATTAATTCGAGAATAGTCAATCAAATTCATTTTTTTTAAGTGTGTTCAAAACCGAGCTAGATAACTCTCGCATTTCTCAAGATGCTTCTAACCTATGGTTTTCAAAATGGCCATGAGTTATAAAGTGCGCACTGAACCATGTAAAGTCTTCGGTCAAAAGGAGAGAATGAAAGGAACAACCAAATAACATAGCTAGTTGATTCATCCACATACACCGTTTTGGTCCACAATGGCCATCTATCGGAACAGTTCGTGTCGCACCATTTGGAAAATAGAAAAAGCCTAATGGTTTATTGTCATAGTGCTCGCCCTCGGCTCACCTGAGTAAATCCGCCCAGATATAAAAGAGCTACAATGTGGCTACAGGAGTGGAAGTTTCCAGGCACCTTCAACAATCACTCAATTCTTCTAGCAAGATGGAACCCTCCCCCGTGACCGATAATGTGGAAAAGGGCACAACCTTGCACCGGAGCGATACAACTTATACCATTGAAACCCGCTATATACAAATGCTCCTCGAGGATATCCCATGGTTTTACAGTATCCTTGCTGATGCTGCACACTGGGCATTACTTGCCGGGTACCTGGTGGTACCCGGCACCTTCACTTCAATGCAGAAGTCTCTAACGTTGAATGAAGACCTGAAAAAAACGGAAGCTGGTCAAACCATCCTAAATACAATCCAAAATCCTCCCCTGCTTGCGATTGCATGTTTCCTGATGGTGCTGGGCGCTTTACTGATGTCCTGGCTATCATGGGAGCGGAGAAACAACTATATCTGGCTGATTAATAAGTTGTTTATGTAAGGGACATATTTGCAAAACACTAAGGAACAACAGCTAATATGTTGATTAGGCCAACCCTTCTTAGTGCTTTGGCTGGATTGGTCACAACTCTTGTCAATATCTACACTGCACGGGAGGGTGAGTGGTCTATCATGGCACTCCTGACGACAATCGTCACAGGACTCTCT